ACCTTACTCAAATATCATCAAATTTTATAAAGACTCAAATCCATATGGGTAGAAGCATATGCATGAATGCAAATAAGGTTTTTCAAAGTCGAATAAAATAAGATGACATATCAAATCAGACGTGGAGAACATTATGACAATCCATGTTGTCACTGTTCTGAAAGAGACAAACATGCTGGTTACTTATAATCTTTATTTTGAAGAGGGCAAAGCAAGCAACAAGCAACAGGTTTGCGTCATCAGACATGTTAATTTCGGGGTGCATCCCCTTCGAGGGTTTGGTCGGTCAGTATGCCCCTAGTGAATTAATAAAATATACAATATCTCTGCATGATTGCTGGCCTAGCAATTTGGGGGGGTGTTTCTGAATGCCGCTAACCTAGTCAATAATGCAACAAAGAAGGAGTTCACAATTCACATAACTTCGCTTGTTGACCTCGCAACTGATTAGCCAAAAGAGTGAAAATGACTTGAATTTTTATGTGCAAAGTGCTGCGTGCTGTGTCTGTTTGATTGATCATATCAACCTCCCAAATGGCAGACTATTTATACAGAGACAGACACTAATCAGCTATGAATGAATTCATCCGAGTCCAAATATTGACACGTATGCTGAAGTTGTTGCCGTTTAACGCAACTAAATTTATTTTGGGGTCGGTTCGTTTTCATTTAAATTTTGATATGATGGATTTATCTAACCTTTTTTTAGAATTTAGGTTTGTTGAGGTTATTTTTTTTAAAAAAAAAATTAATGTGAATTACTTTTTTTATAATCTCGGCTAATGACTCATTATTTTTAAGTTAAGATGTTTATCAATTTTTTTATTTAAATATTGAAAAATTTATTATTTGGTTCAAATTAAGACGTAATCTTTTACATTTGTATTCATTTTTTAAAAAATAATGATAATAAAATTAACAAATATAACTACGTTCTTGTAAAGAAAAGAAGAGTCGTAAGAGTAACGTGGCAACCCCCGGCAAAGAAAGTTATGAGAGCTGAGCAGGTGATTACTCTTCAGTCACATAATTACGGCTAGCGCCAATGGCATGCCCACACATGGTGATGAAACTTGAATTGTGTAAATGAAAAGAAAGCGTGCAAGCTTTGGAAAAAGGTGGGGGAAATAATTTGCAAATGGGGGGGTGTGGGAATGCTCACAGTTCAAGGTTTCCCCGAATCGAGCAAAACAGCTTTACTGTGGCTGCTGTTCGGCTGGAGACGAGGATGGAAATGTTAGCTCCAGAGATGGGTTTGGGGCTAAACATTCATGGCTCACTTTTTAAGGGGGAATTATACCGCTACCAGAAGTAGAAATGCATGAGGGGGCACTTCGATTGCTATCATTGGGCGTTATATTGATACCAGGGGAAGGGGTGCACTTACTGCCGCCCCACCCCGATTCTGTGCCGTGCCGACGCAAAAGCTAGCTTGCCTGCCAAAACTAGACATTGATGCATGAAAATTCTTTTGCCAAATTAATATGGCCCTGAATGTCTGAGTTGTTTGAACCAGATTAGTGATGATATCATCCTATACTACTCCACAAACACACACGTCTTGCGTTAAAACAGTTTGCATCACGCGAACAATAATTTTTTGGTGAAACTTGGCCAACAATAAACAAATTAAAAAGAAGAAAGATTTTACAAGCAATGAAGTTGGTGACATGATCACTTACTTAAGAACTAATTACCTTTTTCCCAGGTTTCAATTTAAAAGAATTGAGGTGTTATTTGTCAATACCATCTAGATGCATGCATCGCCTTCCAAGTTTAAAAAATATGCACTTGAAAGGTGAAGAAGCTAATCCTAATTATTAAGTTTATTAATACAAAGAATTGATGGGATATAAATATTGTTCGTTTTGGAGTTTATATTTACAATTTTATTTTATTTTATTTTTAAAAAAATCTTATAGAGGAAAAATCATCTTTTACTTATACGTTTCAATTCAATTTTTGACTATAAATCTATAAGTGTGGAAGATGCTAACATTGTCGAGCTTAACTACAGCAATCAAAGATGGTCTCCATTTCTTCATTATCTTATCTCCCCTGAGCCTTGTCTCATCCTATCATTATCGAAAACGATTTGAGTAATACAAATTAATTTAGGCCACAAATTGCTCTACAGTTTCTTAAGGAATGAAACAAATCCCGAATCATATTGAAATCTTAAACACGTACGTATAAGGATTTCTTTCAAGCACGAATTTTCGAAAGTCAACTCCTTTGCAGACGGACTCACTAAAGCTAGGGCTCTCTGATTTAAAGACTTCATTGCCATATTGTAGAACCTTATATGTTGGATTGTTTCCGTACGAGGCGGCTACTATGTGTTGCACTGAGGAACTAGTACACTCTTAAATCTCTTAATAAACGAAATCCTTAACTATATAAAGATGTGGGATCTTTTCTCCTCGATGAACCCTCCTTAATTCACGAGGAAATCTATGCCAATAATAATATTTGAAAAGAAGGTTTTATCAAATGAACAAGAACTGATCCAATTAGAACTTGTTTGGTGCCTTTCCCATAATTTAAACTTTTGAGTTCTTGGAAATCGATTGGTTGGCATGGCCCTGAAAGGAATATATGGTTCTGCTCGCCGGGCTTATCCGTTTCTTGTTTCATTTTCTCGATAGGTCCTTTCGAACCAATATGATCTTTTAATTTGGCAGATTGTGGACAAGTTTTTCCAAGCATATATCCCAAGATATTTCTATCAGGTGGACTAACAACAGATGGCTTCAAGCTTTAGATGTCATTTGAAATGCACATTCGAACTAATTTTGCAGCACCCACATCGGCGAATGGTGCTTTTCATACATAAAATGATTGTCATTGCTTAATGTAACTATTACTGAAAAAGTAAAAGGGCCCTCATCACAATACAATTTTTTAATATGGATTTGGCTTCCACAATTCTTAAAAGTTTTCAAAAGGGCCCATACATGCAACCCCCCCAAGCTTTCAAGTTCATCATTATTAGCAGCAGCATCACCCTTCCCTCTATAACTCCTCTTCTTCTTCTTCTTCGTCTTCATCATCTTCTTAAATCTGCAAAGCACAGTAGAAAAAGAAAGAACTATCCTTGTCCTTGGCATCTGCATGGAAAGTACATATTATCATGACATAGAGCGACTTGTAACACTAAGTCAAAGCAAGCAATATTTGTTAATATTACCAAAACGTAAACCTGACCCACACCTTCCAATTAATTTCGTATAGATCATCTTTAATGTTTTGGTTGGCTATCATCTTATTTTGTCCATATTAATTACTCACGATATATAGTACACGGCATATAATAAGAAACTGAAATGCTTTTTGAATTATTTGCAACATCTTGTTAATTAATATCATCGTCGAAAAATCAAATCAAAAAATATGAATTTCGAAATCTAAAAAAATGAGTGTGTTTTTTTTTTCTTCATTGTCATTAATAAAATAAAAGAGGTTGACAGCCACTAACATGGACATGTAGGGTTTGACAAAATCCTGTTAACCTTAATCAACCCTTGGTATTGGAGTTGGGTGGCGTATCAAACTCTATTATTCTTTTTTGTGAAATTATCGATGCTTTCATGGACAGGGCAAGCTGTGATGGATAATGATATGATTTGAATTTTCCCACCATTCGTGGGCTCCATTAAGAGAAAATAAAAAATTAAAAAAAAAAGAATTTTTGATTTAGATTTGCAAAATAAAAAAGGGAATGTAAATTTAGATAAGGTTGAATGTGGTGAAAGGGATAAAAGGGAGATGCACATCTATTCCTCGCCCACATTGTTTGATCAAGTTTGGTGTGGTAGATATCCATGGGGCTCCACATGGGCCATTCTTTGGGCCCGCCTTTTTTTTTTTGCCATTTTTGAGCGTTAGTTTCACACTGGCAACTAAATCCAACTTTCCCTAATCTTACACTTTTTTGACCAGAGGGCTTTGCATTTGGAGTAATGGTTGCCACCCATAATTTAGACCAAACCAAACTAAAATCTTCACCCCATTAGCTATGATTGGAAGTTAGGGCAAGCAAATCCCAAAGTCTTAAAGAGATTGGAGGGATCAAAGCTTTAAACATTTCAGATTGGAGCAGTCATATATTCTTTTTCATTTTTATCAAAATAAATTAAATTAAATGCAAATTTAACTACAAAAAGTACACAAAAAGTCTTTGTGGGCAGACTATATCTTGGAATATATAATGACAGGTCTTTTGCCCCCACTTCCTCTTATAGTGTTGTTTCCAAATGAGACAGGTAACCTGCACAGCTAGAATTAGTACCTCTAACAAAACCCATAGTTGATATGGCATAGGGTTATAAGTCTATTTCTGTCCATATATATTCATCATATAAAACAAAAGAATTCTTGTCTGCCAAAGAACCCACATAACTTTTGGCCTTTTGGTCCAATGGCTACTCCATCTATTGAAGAGTTAAGACTCCACAAGTTGAAAAAGTCAGTAGAAAATATCTTTAATAATCCAAATAATAAAAACAAGAAAATAACTTTTAAAAAAATTGTCATTTTTAAAAAAAGAAAAGATAGGCTCACCAAAACATTATTCATGGATTTTTTGGACATATATATTAGTAGAAAATTGTATATATTTTTTTCCTATAGTTAAATTTGGAAATAACCTTTATGACTTGCTTTTTACTTTCAATAATTTATTAAAAATAAAAATCTCATTTTAATATTTATCATTTAAAATAATATTTTAAAAGTAAAAAATAAAAAATGAAAATGGCAACCGAATAAATCCCAGGTTTATTATGGACTAGTTTTTGTTGGGGTCATTTTGGAGCTTGACATTTTTGAACCCAGAAACCCAACTGTTGGGCCAATCCCCAGACAATACTAATCCTGGATGGTTGGAGCCCAAAGTTTTGTTTGGTCTCTTCTCTAAGCCCAATATACCTATAATTTGGACTCTCTTAAAGCCCAAAGGAAGTTTCGAAATCAGATTCTTACAGCCGAAACAAGGACCCCATAACGCGTGCAAAAAAGGGAGCAGAAGCAGTGTCACAGAGGTTTTGCAGGTTTTCGTAGATTCAGACACAAAAACATAGTTTTGGGTCTTTAGAGAGGCACAGTAAGAGCAACAATGGAGGTGGAATTGAAAGAGATGCTTGACGATCTCCAGTCTTTAAGACAATCATTATCTGATCCTACTCTTCGTGCTTCAATTGACAAGGTAGTCTTTTCAATCTGAGAATACTTGCATTCATGTTTAATACTACATAGACGAGTTTATAAGATGCTTTTAAGACAATTGGGGGATCTAGAAAGTTTCTAGCTTTGTTGTGCTTTGTACTTGTTGAATTATGAAAAATGAGATTCATTTGGATTCCGGGTTGATTTTTGTTGATCTATCAGTTGCCTAGTTTGGTATTTTTATGTATTAATTGTGTCGTGAAGAGAAAGTTGTCGAGTTAATTTGGTAATTTTTGCATTTGAATGTCTTTTTTCTTTTATTTTAATGGTATTATCTACCAGTGAAAGTTGGTAGTGTATCTATGTTCCTTTAGCCGATGACCAGATTCTGTTAGCGTATGGTACAAATTAATGTTTCTGTGAAATGCAACTTATTTTAACGTACCGGAAAAGATTTAAATTTTGGAATAAAGGACAATATCAAATGTTTTAGTTATAAGGATAGAGAAATACGTTTTTAACATGTTTGAGGCCTTGTACTTTGGTTATAACTTGTTTCATATGTTTTTCAGTTGCAATCGCGTGTCGACCATCTTACTCATCTAGCTAAATCTGTACCTGTTCGACGATCAAAAGTCAAGGTTTTTGTTCTCATGTACTTTGTTCTTGCCTTCTATTTTTCTAGTTTCTTATCTGCATTCTTCTGGTTATGTTTGTGATTGTAATCCTAATGCATGTCTAAATAATCTCATGGCAGGATATGAGTGCTGAGGTGGTTGACAGCAATCCTTACAGTAGGCTTATGGCACTTCAAAGAATGGGTATTGTGGAGAACTATGAAAGGATCCGGGAGTTTTCAGTTGCCATAGTTGTCTGTATTTGTCTCCTGCTTTCTAGATCTCTTTTCAACAAAGCCTTGCCTAGCACATGCTATTAGTTCCATAACTTTGCTGTAGATTGATAATTCTTATTGTCCTGATTCAGTTCTCATTGGTAATCTTCTTGAACTTGCAGGGTATTGGTGGTGTTGGCAGTGTTGCAGCTGAGATGCTAACAAGGTGTGGCATAGGTCGCCTTTTGTTGTATGATTATGATAAAGTGGAGTTAGCTAACATGAATAGGCTATTCTTTCGCCCAGAGCAGGTGAGTATTCATACCCTTTTCCATAGTATTTCGTTTTGACTTCTGGCTGGAAAATGACATGTTTTTGTCAAACAGTAGGTCAAGTATTTCTTTAAAGTAAATAATGTTTTTGAAGCGTCGCTATTTTTTTCTCTGCAACTGCAGTTTTTGCATTGATATAAAGCAGAAGCTTGGATTTCTGCCTTAATAAGTTGACTTTCAAATATTCTTTTTCTATCAAGGTTGGTATGACAAAGACTGATGCTGCTGTTCAGACCCTGTCAGACATAAATCCTGATGTTGTGCTTGAGGTAAGCATTTTTCATGAATGCACCCTTTGATTTTACTCAAAAGGTGAATGGTGAGTGGGTTTTCGAGTAGATCATATGTTTCAAGTCTTACAGAAAAAAAAAA